GGAGTAAGAAGGGGACAGCAGTGTTCAACATCAGCCTCTGTGATTGGAAGGCAGTATGAACCATCTGGATTGGCCAGGCCCGGTATAAATAGTCAGAGCCCTGGCCTGGCGAACAGAGCAGGGCTTTCTGCCTGCTGCATTTCAGGCTTCAGTTTTTATTTTGGCTCGAGCACCAGCTACCAACTTCAGGGACCCCAAGTTGGAGAACAAGCTCTCCAACTCTGGTTTCGGGGACAACCGCCCTCACACCCGACCATGGCGCTCACGGTCCATCATCGTCCCAATTTAGGGAGAACGAAATTCGATGAAGTTGTTTTTGAAAGGCACTCGGCGGCAAGGCCTTGAAAGCCTCGGTCTTGACAACTGGCAGCCGACATGAGGCCTGGAAGTACAGATGGAAGGCAGCTCGTTCAGGTGCCAGGCTGTCAGTTGGATTAAAATGACTCATTTATTTACCAAAAGAAGCGCACAAAGTGCTTTAGCTAAACAGGGGGGGAGAGAAAGGCGGAGAGGGCCAAGCGGAGGTAGGAGCTCTCGCGCCTTCCCAGCCTGCCAAGAGTCATTACAGCCGAGTGTGGAAAGCCATCAGCGGGGAAGAGACCCCCATCGGCCGGGTGACAGATTGGACTGCGTAATCAGAGGAGGCAGGGGGGAAACGCAGAAAGCTGTCAGAGGGCGAAAGCGTTTGGCCGCACCCGCCAGAAAACTGGCAAGACGAGTTAGTGTGACGGAGTTAACAAGCAAACACATCTCCAAAATGATCTTCCCCTGGCGGAACGTGCTTCCAAAAGGGTACCTCTTCGAGGAAAACCAAGCAAAAACTTTGTTGAAGGAGAAAGGCATTCGCAGACACACACACACTCGCACACACACACACACACATATACAGAGCTATTACTAATCCCTTAGTTTTTGAGAGCTGATGTTTATTTAGCAGCTCAAAAACAGACATGGTGCCAGTCAGAAAGAGGCCAAAGGCATCTTTGTGATGACAGAAATGTCAGACGTACACTCTTGAGGCGGCCTGAAGAGCGGGTCACGTACTTTCTCAGAATAAGGCCCAAGACAAAAATAACCCCAATCCACCACTCTGCGGAGGTCGAAAACAGTAAACGGATAATGCGCTTTCCTAAATCTCTCGCACCTGCCACCCTGTTTCATGGCAGGGCTGGCCCAGCTTGCCTCCAACGCTGCGGGCATCACAAAAACCTGAATTTCTGGCCAGTAACTGGCTGTTTTCCACCATCTTCTGGAAACGCGAGCGGGGGAAACAAGGTCAGGCCCTCTGCTAGAGGAGGCCCCTGAAATGTTAAAATATCTGAAGGAAGTTTAACCTTCTCTGGTTTCCCAGGATACATTGACAACACCGTGAAGATTCAGCCGAAAAGCCACAACATGAGGTGAGGTGAAGCAATCACTTCTGAAGGCAGGGGTCGACGGGGAAGTAAGAAATCGGCTCAGGAGAAAACTGGGCGGCAGGGGTTATGGAGAATCACTCGTTGCCTTCTAATGCAGGGGTGCAAGTGGGAGAGAAGGGACAGCATTCAGCTCCTCTCCCCACAGCAGCCATTTTAGTACTCCCCAATGTGGTGCAAACATTTCCCCTGGTGCCTGCCAAGCTTTTCAGAGCCACTGTAAGGTAGGGCTTGTTATGGGCCTCCCTCATCCAAATGACGGGGTCTCCCATGGCTGCAAGTGGGAGAGAAAGGACAGCATTCTGCTCCTCTCCCCACAGCAGCCATTTTAGTATTTGGCTCTGCCTCCCGCCGCAGCCATTTTGGGGTGGCACTCTCTCAAAATGCCATTGGCTCAAAAGAGGAGGAGGAGGAGATTGGATTTATACCCTGCCCTTCACTTCCCAAAGGAGTCTCAGAGCGGCTTACAAACTCCTCTCCCTTCCCCTCCCCACACCCTGTGAGGAAGGTGGGGCTGAGAGAGCGCTGACTGAGAACTGCTCCTGAGAGAAGAGCTCTGAGAGAACTTGTGACTGGCCCAAGGTCACACCAGCAGCTGCATGTGGGGGAGTGGGGAATCAAATCCGGTTCTCTCAGATCAGAGTCCACGTTCTAGTGCACTGCACCAAACTGACTCGAAAAGGTTGGGGGACCCCTGTTCTAACGGGCCACCACCAGGCGGGTCTGAGTGGCTGCCCAAGTTCCTCAGCTTGGACCCAGCTGACAGGGGCACACGAGGCGGCGACGGCCAAGGCAAACCTATACCTGTCGTCGCTGCTGCTGGCCACTGGCTTCCAGCAGCTCTCCAAGTCAGCGACCCTCCAGGGGCTTTCCCCGTCTGTTCAACGGCCAGTTTGCCTGTCAGAAGGCGGCCTGAATGTGCCCACTAGGTCCAGCCAACAACAGTGTGGGAAAATGGTAGGCTTCTTGCTTTGGACTCCCAACAGCATGGATTGGCGGTAGGTTCAGGCCAGATAAAAAGAAGTGACCCTTTACAAAACCACACAGATTAATTTAGGAATCCTCTATCACGAGGCGTGGCAATGGCAATCGACTATTTTTAAAAAGGGTTAGACAAACGCATGAAGAACAGATTCAGGTGGGAAGCCACATTGTTCTGGAGCAACAGGACAAAGTTTGAGTCCAGTGGCACCTCGAAGACCGACCAAGTTGAAGACCAACCAAGCTTCTCGGCCCTAGTAACTCCCGATCGTTGTAACTTACAAGTCTGCAGTAGGCAGCCGTCACCAAGACACGCCTCTTTCCCAGGCCAGCAGCTGGTACAATTAGAGAGCAAATTGTGTACGGAGGCAGCAGTCTGAAGCGCTGGGAGGTGTCGTGGTTAAGAGCAGTGGACTGTGATCTGGAGAACCGGGTTTGATTCCCCACTCCTCCACATGCAGCCAGCTGGGTGACCTTGGGTCAGTCACAAGTTCTCTCAGAGCTCTCTCGGCCCCACCTGCCTCACAGGGTGACTGTTGTGGGGAGAGGAAGGGAAGGAGATTTTAAGCTCCTTTGAGACTCCAAGTGAAGGGTGGGGTATAAACCTAATCTCTTCATCGTCTTCTACTTCTGGGTACATAAGAACGTAAGAGAAGCCAATGTTGGATCAGGCCAATGGCCCATCCAGTCCAACACTCTGTCACACAACGGCCAAAAAGACCAGGTGCCATCAGGAGGTCCAGCAGTGGGGCCAGGACACCAGAAGTCCTGACACTATTGACCCCCCATGTTTATCTAATTCCCTCTTGAAGCCATCCATGCTTGTAGCCGCCACCATCTCCTGTGGCAGTGAATTCCATATGTTAATCACTCTTTGGGTGAAGAAGTACTTCCTTTTATCTGTTTTAACCCGACCGCTCAGCAATTTCATGGAGTGCCCACGAGTTCTTGTATTGTGAGAAAGGGAGAAAAGTACTTCTTTCTTTACCTGCTCTATCCCATGCATAATCTAGTAAACCTTGATCATGTCACCCCTCAGTCATCGTTTCTCCAAGCTAAAGAGCCCCAAGCGCCTTAACCTTTCTTCATAGGGAAAGTGTTCCAACCCTTTAATCATTCTAGTTGCCCTTTTCTTCACTTTTTCCAATGCTATATCATCCTTTTTGAGGTGCGGTGACCAGAATTGCACACAGTATTCCAAATGAGGTCGGACCATCGATTTATACAAGGGCAGTATGATACTGGCTGATTTGTTCTCAATTCCCTTCCTAATAATCCCCAGCATAGTGTTGGCCTTTTTTATTGCAGTCGCACACTGTCTCGACATTTTCAGTGAGTTATCTACTATGAGTCCAAGATCTCTCTCTTGGTCAGTCTCCACCAGTTTGGACCCCATCAATGTGTATTTATAGTTAGGATTTTTGGCCCCAATGTGGACCACTTTGCACTTGGCCACATTGAACCCCATTTGCCATGTTGACGCCCACTCGCCCATCCTCGACAGATCCCTTTGGAGTGCCTCACAATCCTCTCTGGTTTTCACCACCCTGAACAACTTCATATCATCTGCAAATTTAGCCACTTCACTGCTTATTCCCAACTCCAAATAATTAATAAACAAGTTAAAAAGCATCGGACCGAGCACTGATCCCTGCGGTACCCCACTGCTTACCACCCTCCACTGAGAAAATTTCACATTTATACACACTCTCTGTTTCCTATTAATTAGCCAGTTTTTGATCCACGAAAGGTCATTTTATCCCGTTATTTTTGAGCTTACTTAGGAGCCTGTCCTGTGTATGCACACAAAAACTTATACCCAGAAGTAAACTTGGTTGTTCAGGAAGAATAGGTATGTCAACGGCTATTAGTTACGACAGCTCAAGGGAACCTCCACGTTCAGAGGCAGTGTACCTCTGAATAGCGACCCTTCGGACAATCAAAAGCAGAAGGCTGCTGCTTTTGGGAGCTTCCCAGAGACATCTAGTGAAAGGCATGCTGGGTCACGTGGACTTATAGTCTGACTCGGAAAGGCGATGCTTAGTTATACACCCACCCACAAAACCAGACTTGCCGTTTTCCAATAAAAAGAAACCCACCACACGAGGAGAACCACGTAACGGCAGCCCAACAGTCACCAGAGGCCGCCGGAGCTTCTCAGCCCTAATAACTCCCCATCATTGTAATTTACACGTTTGCAGTGGGCAGCCATCACCAAGACGTGCCTCTTTCCCAGGCTAACAGCTGGTACAATTAGAGAGCAAATTGTGTACTGAGGCAGCAGCCTGAAGCGCCGGGAGGTCAGAAACCAAAAAGGCAAGCCGAGGAAGCCGAGAAGCATCAGCAAAGGGATGCTGGCTGCCTACCTGCCCTTGAAGGAGCCTTGAAGAGCAAATGGCAGCAGACGACATGGAGAGCTCTTTTATAGCCACGCAGGCTGCTGGGCTTGGCGCCGGATTTTCTCAATGCGACCATGAGGACTAGCTGCCTTTCACTGCAGCCACAGGTTTTAAAAATCTGGACAACTCTTGTTCCCAATTGGTTCTCTGTGTCTCCCTACCAAACACCAGCACAGATCGGCCTCAATGACATTTGGACACTTACCGTGCAGAGCAAAACCCCAGCCTTTGATTGCAGGAAGTCCTGGAAGATCATTGTCCTCTCCTAAGGGGGGCGGGGGAGAGAGAGACAGGGGTCACACAAATAAAATTAATCCATAGATAAAAAATGCAAAGGATTTGGAAGGATTTGTGTTGTGCACATGGAATCTCTGGGTTCTGTCAGCAGGCAGAAGCTAAGAAAGAGAACTAAGCTGAAAAGGAGTGGGTTAAGAGCTTGTATCTAAATGTTATGTTATGACAAATAAGATAAGAAAAATGGAAGGTAAATATTTTGTGAAAAATTGGAACCTATCTGCAACTAGATGTGGTGCATCATGTTGGTAACCGGTATTTTGTTCTATTCTTCTTCCCCCCCCCCTCTCTACATTTTTTCTTTCTTTCTTTTTTCTTTTTCCCTCTTCTTCCTTTTTTCTTTTCTCTTAGCTGTTTTTTTTTGTTAATTTTATTCAAATAATTAATAAAGACAATGTAAAAAAAAAAAAAAGAGAGCTCCGGGCTTAATTATTTGGAAGTTCCTTGGGACACAGACCTATCTTTTACTTACTCTATTTCATGAAGTGCCATGTACCCCAAGGACTCCATATAAATAAAAGCATATTAAGTAAAATTTGGTTGTGGGGAAAGGGTAATTTTTTTTAATGTTATTTATTGTGGATTTTTTGGATTTGCAATAGGGGATAAAAGAGAAGACATAAAACTGCAGCGACTCTTCTAACAGTAACTGGTAGCTTATCAGCAAACGGGCTCCATCCCTTAAAAGTGCCTGCCACAGTAAGCTAGCCTTTAAAAAATGCCACAGAACCTGTCGCCATTTTTTTGCTGCAACACCTTTACCTGGGCTACCTCTCTGGACCCAGTAGCTATGGCTGACTGAACTGCATGTTCTTCAAGATCCCCCCCCCTTTCCCCCAAGTTCCCGTCGATGAAATGCAAAGTGCCATCACGTCACGGCCGACTCACAGTGACCCATCAAAGCAAGAGACGTTCAGAGGTTATTTGCCGTCGCCTGCTCCTGCATAGCTACCCCAGTCATCTTTGGCGGTCTCTCATCCAACCAGTTTGGTGTAGTGGTTAAGAGCGCAAATTCTAATCTGGGAGAGCCGGGTTTGATTCCCCGCTCCTCCACGTGCAGCTGCTGGTGTGACCTTGGGTCAGTCACAAGTTCTCTCAGAGCTGTTCTCTCAAGAGCACTGCTTGAAAGAGCTCTCTCAGCTCCACCTACCTCACAGGGTATCTGTTGTGGGGAGGGGGAGGGAAAGGAGATTGTAAGCCGCTCTCCTGTGGGTAGTGAAGGGCAGGGTATAAATCCAATCTCTTCTTCTTCTTCTTCAAGTGCTAACCAGGGCCGGCCCTGCTGAATTTCCGAGATCTGATGCAATCGGGCCAGACTGGGCCATCCAGATAAGGGCTTCCTGTATTTAGGTGCTGCTAATATGATATTCAGATTTTAAAAACGATTGACGCCATCGAAAAGACAGAGGAGGGTAAATCTTTGGGGCAGCCGCTTGTTTTCACCTGCACTCCTTAGTAAAGCACAGCCATTTCTAAACCGTAACAGCTAGAACACGATAACGCTGGTGGCCAGTCCTTGGATGCCCCAGCATCACGGCGGAGCTGATCTTCCCACCGTCTGGATGGGCCAGGATGATGCCGCAGGAAGGGAAGCCACCCAATCCTCTCCCAGCCAGAACCGGGAGAAGAGAGAGAGCAGCTCACCAGCGACAGCCGCCGTGCCCAGCAGTACCATATGGGAGCCACAATTTAGCTCCATTAATGCTCTTAATTTGAAGACATCGAGTGCTAATTACACACTGGGTACTAAAAGGCAGAGCCCTTCCCCTGGTGCCGCCTTCGGAGTGGTGTTTCAGTTGCCTTAACAGCTGGTCAGGTTTGAGTCGGGCCAGGCCCACCCTGCTTCGCCTCTTGCGGGTGGAAGAGAGGCCAGGATACAAGGGCACGCAAGGCACATGTTCCAGGGCTCGGCGGGGCGGCAACAGCCGGGAACGAACAGCCGCTCCTTCACCTCTCGCTGTGGTGAAAAGGGCTGTTTTGTTTGCTGTCTGTGGTGCCACAAGGAAACACAGCCAGGCCTTATAAAGGTTAAGGACAGTGCTGTGGAAGAGTTACTGAGCCACCCGTCCAATCCCGTCTTCCTTTCCCTTCCTAGAGTGACCAACCCCTTTCAGTTCATTCCAATGTGATGGATGGGTCAGAGAAGAAGAGGAGGAGGAGATTGGATTTATACCCTGCCCCACACTCAGGAGTCTCAGAGCAGCTTGCAATCTCCTTTCCCTTCCCCTCCACACAACAGACACCCTGTAAGGTAGGTGGGGCTGAGAGAGCTCTCTCGAGGACTGCTCTCGAGAGAACAGCTCTGAGAGAACTGTGACTGACCCAAGGTCAACCAGCTGGCTTCATGTGGAGGAGTAGGGAATCAAACCCGGTTCTCCAGATTAGAATCCGCTGCTCTTAACCATTACACTATGCTGGAAGTGGGCGGAGCCAGTTGGACTTCTGCCCAGCAATACTTCTGATTGGCTATGCAGTTTTTTTTAAAAAAGCTGTTTTGGCAGCAGCTGCCACCACAGCACAAGGATCTTCACTTCGGCATCCATTTTGTGGCTGGGTCTGGCGTCTGCGGCAGCCATTTTGTGGCTGCGGCCACCATGCCATGTCAGAATCTCAAATGTGCCCACAGGATTTAAAAAGTTGGGGATGCCTGGGTTAAAGCGTCAGAGTAAGGAGACCCAAGTTCAAATCCCCACTTGTGACATGGAAGCTTGCTGGGTGACCTTGGGCCAGTCACAGTCTCTCAGCCTAACCTTCCTCATAGGGTTGTTGTGAGGATAAAATGGAGGAGAAGAAAATGACGAAAGCTGCTTTTGGTGTCCACTGGCGAGAAAGGTGGGGGTATAAATGACATAACTGAAGTCCACTGAAGTCAACGGCTCAGAAGGGTGTAGCTCTGTTTAGGATAGGGGTATAAATGACATAACCAATAAATAGATAGTAACGTTCTCACCCAAGCTGCAGTCAAGTAGAAATACAGACCACTGCAGTCCACACCGGTACCTGACTCACAGTGCTCCGATGCTGTAATCTTCAAAGCCAGCCAGAGACCCTACGGATCTTGTGTATGGTCTATTACTTCTAGTGCACACTTAAGCAAAGTTACGTCTAAGGCCACTGAAGTCAATGGCTCAGAAGGGTGTAGCTCTGTTTAGGATCGCACTGTCAGTCAACCACTGGTGCCAATCAGCTAATCAGCTGATATGCCGTCTCACAGTTCATGACAGCGACTTCCCAAGTTGGCTATTTGCATTTTCCCAGCATAAAAATGGGCATTTTGTGGCCTCTCCAGTAGAAAGGATCAGGGAGAGCAACAGTTCACGGACCCTGAGAGGAGGGCACAGAAGAAACAACTTGCACATATTTCCCCCTTTTACCCCCGTCTCCCCCCCTTTCTCTATTGAAATTTAGACTGGATGCCCCTTGGGCCATAGACCGCTCCGCAAAGCATCATGTGCCTTGACGGTGCAATGAAAATAATTACTAATAAAGGTGGTACCAACACGTTATATTTAATACATCTGCAACAGAATACGCTCCTTTAATGAAGACTTTGGAGGCTGCTTTCTGAGCACGCTCCGTTAACCCGCATTTGCATTCCGAATTAATGAATGCAGAGCAGGTTTGCGGACACAGTTTGCAGCTGACGAAATTCGGTCCTGGCCTAGGAAAGCCTTTGCTTTAGAGGGAATACAAAAATCTCCAACATGCCACCAGTCTTGAATTGTTGGTCCCTTTTACCCATATGCGGATTTGCCAAGGTGATCTGCCCATTACGCAGAATCGTTTGACAGACAGAGGCAGCAGAAGCACAGACTTTACCGGCTCCAGCCTGCAGGCTGCCTTTCATACTTTTCCAGTGCTCTCCCACAGAGCAAGTTCCTCAAGCACAGGGCATCACGGAGACAGCAGGGCTAGTTTTCTCCATGCAAGGAAACTGTTTTGGAAAACACCACTCCCCCTCCACTGCAATCAGGAGTGGCACATGCCACTCCAAAGTCCACCCTCTTCTTCTGTAGAACATGCAGTCGATCTCATAGAATAACAGAATCACAGAGTTGGAAGGTGCCATACATCAATATGCCGATGACACCCAGCTCTATCTGATGTTGGGCGGCCAGTCGGACTCTGATCCAGAAGATCTTCACCGGGCTTTACAGGCCGTGGCTGGGTGGCTCAAGCTGAGCCGGCTGAAGCTGAACCCGGCGAAGACGGAGGTCCTGTGCCTGGGTGGTATGGGATTGGGGCTCCCGCTCCCGGCCTTCGACGGGGCACCTTTGGTGCCAGCGCCGGAGGTTAGGAGTTTGGGAGTGCTCCTGGACCCCACCTTAACGATGGAGGCCCAGGTGCCGGTCACTGCCAAAGCAGCCTTTTATCATCTAAGGCTGGTGCAGCAGTTGGTGCCCTTCCTTAGGCGCGGCGATCTGGCCACAGTGATCCATGCGACGGTCACCTCGAGGTTAGACTACTGTAAGGACCTTTCAACGTGTCTGAAGAAGTGCAAGCTTGCACCCAGCAAGCACCTCTTTGTTTAAATTGCCTGCTCATCTCTGCACTGTCTTTGTAAACACCACATTCAGAAGGGGAATTCCTTTTTAACCTTAAAAACTGGCTCAGAGGTAAGTTGTTTTTTGAATGCGAAGGATGGAAGGATCTAAAGCGCAAGTACGTTTTTCTATCAGATGGGGTTTTTTTTATAACTGTGGACTGCCAAAGTGTTCTCCCGAGTCCTATAAACCACCGTATCTAGGAATGTTACCACATCACAGTCATAATTAATTGAGTATTTAATGGTATCGTGGATCCCGTTAGCCCAGATTACAAAGGCCTGTAAACTGTTTTAACCGTTGACTTTTACTGCACTTGTGCCTTAATTGTTTTAACTTCTTGTATTTTTACCGCACTTTTGTGCCTGTGTAAGCCGCCCTGAGCCCGCGTGCGGGGAGGGCGGGGTATAAATGAAATAAAATAAATAAATAAATCTAGTCCAGCCCCCTGCTCAGCCTAGAGCATCCCTGACAAGTGTTTGTCCGGCTCACCACCTCCCTAGGTAGCTGATTCCATTGTTGCACAAAAAGTGTCTCCTAAGATCCAGCTGGTCCCTTCCCGCCCTTAATTTAAACCCATGATTGCGAGTCCTCTGCTGTCAAGAGTCACAGCTCCCTGCCCTCCTCTAAGGGACAGCCCTTCCAGTACTTAAAGAGAGCAATCATGTCCCCCCTCAATCTCCTCTTCTCCAGACTGAACATTCCCAAGTCCCTCAGCCTTTCCTTATAGGGCTTGGTCTCCAGGCCCCCGATCATCCTGGTCGCTCTCCTCTGCACCCGCTCCATTCTGTCCACATCCCTTTTGGAATGAAGCCTCCAGAAGTGCTGTATTTTATACCGAGTTGTATATTGTTTTTCCTGGGTTTTATGTAAGCTGCCTTGAGCCTGCCTCGGCGGGGAGGGTGGGGTAAAAGTTAAAATAATTAATAAATACAATACAATACAATACTCCAGGTGCAGCCTGACATCTCGCGATTTGGATGTCATGCCTCTGGGGGTTCTCACATTCTGCTACCAGCACGGGAGCGACTGTAGCCTTCCTCCTTCATGCACTGACATGGCAATGTCAGAAGTAAATTGGCCTTATGGGAAGATGCCAGTTTGGTGTCGTGGTTAAGTGCGTGGACCAATGTTCCCTCTAAGCTGCGGGGTCTTGTGAGCAAGAATTCTACTTTGTGAGCTAAAGGCCTTCAAGTTGTGAGCGAGCGATTTGGCTATTGCATAAATTAGTTTGCTCTGGAGCCCTCCTCGCTGAACCAAGACATAAATGTGTGAGCCGGAGGCTAAAAAACTGTGAGCTGGCTCACACTAACTCAGCTTAGAGGGAACACTGGCGTGGACTCTAATCTGGGAGAACCGGGTTTGATTCCCCACTCCTCCACTTGCACCTGGCTGGATGACCTTGGGCAAGCTGTAGTTCTGATAAGAGCTGTCCTTGAAAAAGAGCAGTCCTTGACAGAGCTGTCCCAGCCCCACCTACCTCACAGGGTGTCTGTTGTGGGGAGGGGAAGGGAAGGAGTGTGTCAGCCACTCTGAGACGCCCTTGGGTAGTGAAGGGCGGGGTATAAATCCAATCTCTTCTTCTTCTCTTCTTCACTGACCTGCTAGAAAATGGGGTAATGCTCATGCACAGGTGCGTGTGTGTGTGTTGAGTCACAGTCTGGATTCCAGGCAGTCCCGCAGTGGACTCCCTCACTGCCAGAGTGGCATCAACTCTAAGCTCGAGAATCCTGAGCTGTTGGGGGTAAGACCAGGTGCCCGTTTGGTTCAGAACAAGCTGTGTGTGTGTTGGGGGGGGGGGAGCTTGCAGCATCAAACAGGATCTTTGGAAACATTTCTCAAAAGCAGGAGGAGGAAAGGAAAGGTGTTTCTTTTCCATTTCAATTTTCTCAGCCAATTCACTTTTTATCAACCCCCCCCCCTCCTCCGGCTCACCTCTTGCTTCATGTCATCGTGCAGACGCTGGAACTTCAAAGGCGAAGGGGGAAAGAGAGGAGGCGCCAAGCCCCCCGTCTCCGGTCCCTCGGCCAGGGCCTTCTGGAAAAGCGTGTGATGAAACTCCACCTGCTCGCAGCTGGAGAAAAAGACGATCATCTTGTTGCATTTTTCAAACTGTGGGGATAAAAAGACGCACACATACATACAAGATCAAGGCTATGCGGGTAATGCACACAAGAAAGAAACAAAACTCCAGAGAGGATAGCGTGTGGCACATTATTTAACTTGAGAATCTCCATTTCCAGTCTTTTTTAAAAGGGGAGGGCAGGAAGTCCCCTTCTTCACCCAAAGAGTAGTTAACACGAGGAATTCACTGCTGCAGGAAGTGGCGGCGGCTACAAGCACAGACAGCTTCAAGAAGGGATTGGATAAACATGTGGAGCAAAGGTCTGTCAGCGGCTATTAGCCACAAGGTATGGATGAAACACTCTGTCTGGGGCAGTGATGCTCTGTATTCTTGGTGCTTGGGGGGCAACAGTAGGAGGGCTTCTGGAATTCTGGCCACACAGGTGGACCTCCTGATGGCACCTGTCTTTTGGCCACTGTGTGACACAGGGTGTTGGACTGGGTGGGCCACTGCCTGATCCAACATGCCTGCTCTTGTGTTCTTAAGCAGTGTCCGCTTAAGTGCTTGCCTACGAAAGCTGATGGGACAGTCAAAGCTAACCTTTCGATTCTAGTCTTGCTTACTTGCTTGCCTGGCCCAAGATGCCCGTTCAAATTCTCCTATGACTTAACCGATTTGTGATATTTAAGGGGCTTCATTCCAACCAGGTTAAATGATCGTCTGAAGAGGGTTTATTTATTTTATACCCTGCACACTCTCCCTGCAGGGGACTCAGGACAGCTTACAACATTTAGAATACAATAAATACAACCCCCCAACAAATAAAACAACAAACAACTAAACCAATTAAAATAATAAAGCGGCCTTACGCGCCCTACGGAATGCTGAAAGATCCTGCCGGGCACGAACTTAAAATGCCCTTGCCCTGGCGGTTGACTAGCAGGCGATTTGCGGGCCGGGCATCTGTCAAAGGCCCTGTGATGGTAATCTTAGGAGGTGTGTGTGTGTGGGGGGTCATACTGGGAGAGGGGTTCCTGTAGGTAGGCTCCAAGGACTGGGGTACAGTCACCCTCCCTCCCAATAAAGGTAAAGGTTCCCTTGCTCGAAAGCCAGTCGAATCCGACTCTAGGGTTGCGGTGCTCATCTCCGTTTCAAAGCCGAAGAGCCAGCGCTGTCCGAAGACGTTTCCGTGGTCATGTGGCCGGCATGACTAAACACCGAGGTGCACGGAACGCTGTTACCTTCCCACCGAAGTGGTCCCTATTTATCTACTAGCAATTTCTTGCTTTCGAACTGCTAGGTTGGCAGGAGCTGAAACTAGAGACGGGAGCTCACTCCGTCATGCGGCACACTCGGGTCTCGAGCTGCTGAACTACCGACCTTCCACAGCCTGCAGTTCAGCGTCTTAACCACTTGAGCCACCACACTTGAGCACCCTCCCAATGCAGACATTTATTTATGGAACCCGCCCTTTGCCTCGTGCCCAAAAACACCTGGGAGAGAGGAAGAGCCGCCTGCCAGCTGCCTACTGAAGAGCCTCACCTTGCACTTCCCCAGGAGGAACGCGGCCAGGGTCACCAGCCGCAGCTTGCTCGGAACCACCGCGACGTGTTGCTGCAGTTTCTCCGGCACGGCAAAACCATCACATTCCATGCTGGCAGGAAGAGCTCCGACAACCCCCGTAGGGCACGCTTTGCCCCCCACGTCTTCCGCGACAGAGATGCAGACTGGATCGCGCAAGCTGATATCGGCCAATCTCGCGACGCCTGTCACAAACACAAAACTTCACTTGCACGCGGCGTGCAGAACGCCACCCCCCCCTTTGCGAGACGAACAAAAACCAAAGTTGTGCCACGTCACTCTCTTTTTTTCAGATATTTACAAAAAGTAGAACTCCTTCTTGAAGACCGTTCCCACATGCTCAGCCCTTCCCTCCGACCCCCCAATTGTACCCCTCCTTTCCCCTAAACTTAGCAGCCCCCCCTCATACTCCCCTTACTGGCCTGAGAATCCCTCCTTAAACTCAGCTGCTTACTTCCTGTTGGGCACCATTTTGAGTTGCTGTAGTAAAACCCATCCCGCCTGAAGTTCTCTTCTCCTAGGGGACCTTGATGAGCCAAGGAGTCTCAAAGGGGCTTACAGTCACCTTCCCTTCCTCTCCCCACAACAGGCACCTTGTGAGCACTGTTCCCTCTAAGCTGCGGAGTCTTGGGAGCAAAAATTCTACTCGGTGAGCGACTGGCATGAAAGTGGCGAGCGAGCGACTTGGCTGCTGCACAAATGAGTTTGCTCTGGAGCCCTCCTTCCTGAGCGGAGACTAAACTATGTGAGCCGGAGGCTAAAGAACCGTGAGCCGGCTCACACTAACTCCGCTTAGCGGGAACACTGCTTGTGAGGTGGGTGAGGCTGAGAGCGTTAGCGGGGAACTGTGACTGGCCCAAGGTCACCCAGCTGGCTTTGCGTGGCGGAGGAGTGCGGGAATTGAACCCGGTTCTCCAGATTAGAGTTCGCCGCTTTTAACTACTGCACCACACTGGCCCTTTTGGGAGGCTACCCCCCTCCTTTAAAATTTCCAGAACTCCCAGGTTTGCAGAAACGTCAAGTCCTGGTGTCCCCTTAGAATTACTCAGACGTCTCTACCACAGCTCTGCAACGTAGGCCTACTGCATTGGAGATACGGGGGACGAGGGCTAGCGAGTTCACGGTGCAGGTGAAAAGCGAACGGCTGGCAGCTGACGGCCACTGGCTGATAAGAACACAAGGGAAGCCACGTTGGATCAGTTCGATGGCCCATCCTGTCTGTGTCACACGGTGGCCCAAACCCAGGTGCCATCAGGAGGCCTACCGGCGGGGCCGGAAATCTTAGTTAGAGCCAGGGCTATTTTTGGGCAGGAACGCACAGGAACGGAGTTCTGGCTGGCTCCCAAGTTGGCCACACCCAGCAGGAACTCGTTAGCATAATAGGCCACACCCAACAGCAGGAACTTATTAAGACTGGCTAAATTAGGGTGTGTGGCCTAACATGCAAAGGAGTTCCTGCTACAAAAAAAGGCCCTGGGTTTTGACAACAAACAAGGTAAACAGAATAAGAAGCCAAAGGTGGGTGTGGCTGGATGACCACACTTCTGGTAACACAGGGGTGTGGCCTAATATGCTAATGAGCGGTGCAGTCAGGGGTGTGGCCTAATATACTAATAAGTTTCTGCTTCTGGGTGTGGCCTATTATGCTAATGAGTTCCTGCTGGACTTTTTCTACCAAAAAAGCCCTGGCTAGAGCCAAACTTACCTGCCCGCCCCCTGAGAGGGAAGGGCCACAAACCTTCAACCCCTGCATCCCTTCCACCTCTGGCCAATGACACAGTGCCCTTAGTCGTCTCTCGTGCAGCCACAGGACGACAGATGGGATAGCCGACTCCTTCCGGGTCGGGCTAGGGAAACCAGACTCCTAACGACGGATGGTCGCGTTAAAGGCCAGAGCCGAGTGGAATCTGCCTCTCTGATCGTCCTGAGCAGTCACATCTGTGGCAGGACCACTGTTCCCTCTAAGCTGAGTTAGTGTGAGCTGGGTCACAGTGTTTTAGCCCCTGGCTCGCGTGTTTTTGTCTCAGTTCAGGAAGACAGGCTCCAGAGCAAACTAATCTGATGCAGTAGCCAAATCGCTTGCTCCCAACGTTAATGCCAGTAGCTCACAAAGTAGATTTTTTGCTCACAAGACTCCATTGCTTAGATGGGGCATTGGACAGGACAGCCGCCAGCACGTCGCTTACCGTCTGTAAGCGTGGCCGACAGCAGAACATTCTGCCGCTTCTCGTTGTCCGCGTTTACAGCATTCAGGATCGCAGCGACAGCCTTCTCAAAGCCCTGGTCCAGGATCCTGCCGAAAGCAAGAGTCCGTGAACAGCCACAGCGCAAGGTGAGCTGGCACCCAACCTTGGGCTCCACGGAAACCGCCTCTGCCACTAGTGTGTTTTATGAATGGGAATATAAAGGATTTCCCCCCCCTTTTGATTAATCATATTTTTCTGGTTTTATGGATTCTTCTCCTAAGTAAGATTTTATTAGGATGTGATGATGGCCTATTAAATAGCAGGCCTTCCTCTTGTAGGTTAGATTGATTTTTCTAGCTGACGTTAGCAGACAAATAACCTTCTTTTGGTATAGAAGATAGGTATAAAGTTCATGGTTTTTAGTTGTTTAGGGTAAAGCTTTACAGTGTCTAGGTCAAAAAGGATTTTAGCTTCATATCAGGAAGAAAACACCTTTGTTTGGGTATGAAGAATCCCTGGCCAATATTATCCAGGTTAGGTTAAGTAAATACTTGAAGATATTATGTATCTTCTTTCTTTCTTTACATTTGACCAATAAGTGGACTATTCCTCAAATGATGCATTGTCTTTTGTAACCAATTATGCTTTTTGAATGTTATCTTCATGTCCAGTGTTCCCTCTAAGCTGAGTTAGTGTGAGCTAGCTCAGTTTTTTAGCCTCCGGCTCACACATGTTTGTCTCAGCTCAGGAAGAAGGATGGCTCCAGAGCGGACTAATGTATGCAGTAGCCAAATCGCTCGCTCACAACTTTAATGCCGGTAGCTCACAAAGTAGAATTTTTGCTCACAAGACTCCACAGCTTAGAGGGAACATTGTTCATGACTATGTCATTTCAAGTATAAAATTTCATGTACTTCCTGATGGTGTTCAGAAAGCAGTCATTTTTTGATGGGCTGTTTGGCCTAACTGTTTTCAGGTGTCTTGACTGCAATTAAAACACTATGACCTTCCTCTTCACTTTGACTTCTTTTTTTTTATTGGGATTCTATTTGTATAACATGTGTGGTGTGCCAGAGGGGGCAGGAGAGAGGATGCTCTGACCCCCCCACGGGTGGATCCCCCCATCTTTCAGGAAACCTTACCTGTCGGCCTCGTCCAGAATCAGCCACCGGACCTGGTGGAAATGAATGCACTTGGTGGAGTTGATGTGGTCCACCAGGCGGCCGGGAGTGGCAATCAGTATATTGATGCCTTTGCGTAATCTGTTCCAAAGCAAAGAGAGACACACAAAGAAACTTCAGGAAAAAAGGGCCGGAAGGGTAGATGGTTGTGCGAGATGCCGGTGGAAGTCTCGACCCGGCTGCTTCGT